GGGACTACAAGGTTGTTTCTGTTCAAAATTTTTCTAAGTTTTTGGGTACCCAAGAAACTACATACAGCAGCTTTAAGGAAGGAAAATGCTTTTACTACTTTGGTTTTTTAAAAATGCCATAAAATTCAATAAAAAATTGTTGATTAAACAAAACTCAGTTGCAAAATTTTTTTTTTTCATGTTTCAGGCTGTGATAACACTAAAAACAGAGAGGTTTATTATGGGGAAAAATATATAACTAATTTTAATCAGTTAGATAACTAATTATAATCAGTTGGACAATACATGTTTTGAAATGGTAAAAATAAGACGTCAGCAGTGTCGGCTGTAATATTCTAAAACATTTAGTTTTGATGACATGACAATACATATGAGTATTGTCATGTCAATGTATAAAATCATGACCACTAGAGGTCCTCATGTGTCCAAATATTTAGTTTTATCATTAAGGTTTGGGCTTCATGTGTAGCTCAGATCTTGAAAATGAAAATCTTTTATAGTCATATTTTATTATTTGGGGGGGGGCAATATCCATAATGTAGATTCATGTTTTCTAATGTTGATAGGATAAGTTCTGGTTTATAGGAAAGTAGTAGTTGTGGAAAAGGGAAATTGACATTTCTCATTCTGTTATAAATTAATCTGTTCTAAAATATCAAATTAATCAGTGTATTTCTCCTTTTAAGTGTTTGTCTTGTTCAGCTTTTTTTTTCAGTGTTCAGATCTTTTCTTCACTTAAATCCACTTTAAATCTGTTTGTTCCAACACTTTCAGAGGCGAGTGTGTGTCCTCTCTGGCCTGGGAACACCTTAGTGTAGAAACAGAGGGTCTGTTTTGGATGGATGGTTCTGCTCATGCCCGTTGGACCAGAACTGGAGTGAGATTTTCTGTTTAGAAGTCAGTTTAGTTGTGAGTTGTCTGCTACACAGGGTGATACCTGGACCATGTGTTGGCTGAATGACTGTAGTGAGGTGTCAGTGTGGCGCCTCAGTCTGTGACTCTACTATCTGCTCTAAAGGGAGCTCTGCTAAGCCTTTAAGCTTCTTTAAAGCCTGAACTCCAGTTAATTAAAAAACAGCAATGACCACTTGGTAAATGGCAATAATTTGCTTCATACAAAAAGCTGGTAGAAGTTGAGTTGATAAAAAAAAAGGCTCCAGTCAGTTTGTGACAGATATTACTAATAAAAAGAATTGTTATTAGTTCACCTGTTCATAGGGCCAGACTACAAGAATTATTTTTATTACAAGAATAAATTATTAATATTACAAGAATAAAGTCATATTACGAGGAAAAAAATCAAAATAATACAAGAATAACATCTTCGAAATAGACACAGTCATTTACACAATCATAAGTCTTGCTTCTGATATTTGATGCTGATGAGTTAAAATATTACGTTTTTTTTATTTGTAAAACTGATACCAAAATATAACTTCACAAGATGCTCAACATTCCTTACATTAACACAGTGTTACCACTGCTTTTTCATGTAGGGGTTCTTGTATTATTATGAATTTATTTTAATAAGATTATGACTTTATTTTCGTAATAAAAAAAAACTCTTGTAGTCTGGCCCTAATGCTCTGTCCTAGTTGACTGACTTTAAAATACATTTGTGATATTCCTTAATCCTGGTTCGGGTTTTTGGTTCTGCTGGAGCTTTCTTTGTGTTTAGAGAGTTGGTCCTTTTCACTGTCGCCTCTGGTCTGCTCAGGATGGCCTGTATAAAGAAACTGAACTGAAATCATGTCCTGATGCATCTCAGTAATCCAGGCAAAAAATCAAAAGGAAAAAAATTGTATAGGTCCTCTGGACGGGCTCTTCTTTAATGAAACGGTTCGTCTCTCTTCCAAGAGACTTCTTCAGTCTGAGAAAACTGAAGTGAAATCAGTTTTTCAATTTGGCCTGATTTAGCCTGTTTTGTTCTTGTGTACATTCCACTTTAACGAGTATACCACCCTGCAAGACCTAAAGCTGCAACTCTGTATTTATAGCTGGGCTTCTTAGTGTCTTTCCTTGTTATGTAGAGCTGACAGTGTACATGCTGTTTTGAGGCTGGATTAAGCCCTGGCTGCTGCAGGACCACGTTGGGGAAAGTGTGGGTACAGTTTTCCYCCCGCTTTTGATAAAAACAAGCCGCTGCAGGCTGAAGAAACAATTGKGTGGATCTGTAATTTAGGGCGTATCCTTGAGGAAATAGACACGAGGAAAAAGGAGTCAAGGAGAAAACTGCTACCATGTAGTTCCTGGAAAGAGACCCTGCAGGCACCTTTGTGAGGACTACCATGGGAGCAGTACTGAGCTGGTTTGCTACTCACATTTGTGGTCTTGTGCTAAATACAACTGATGCACTTTGGATTTTTAAAGTAAGTAGGATGGTTGTGTTTGATTTAACTTAAAGGGTTCAAATAATTTGTTTATTGGAGAAAAATACTGCTGTGTTTTCTTAAAGGGATCCATGATTAGTTGTAACATTAAACTTTATTTGATTAACATTTATTTAAACTGTAAAATAAAGACTGTGAAAATACAGTAGGCTGTTTAGATTTGTAATTTTTTTAAAATATATTTTAACACGGATGGAGCCATTTTATTTACACGCAAAGCATTCTGGGTAAATGATGACATCAACTAGGTCATTGGTGCGAGGTTGCTAGSGAGCTATATCCACCCTGAAGGTTAATCTTGGACAATATCTGATGATTGACTCTTTTAAATGAAACCAGAGAGCGTTGACAGAGAGGAGAAGGTAGAAATGACTCAGCCTGTAGCTGAAAATATGGATGGAGGACAACAGAGCTGCTTCATGGAAGAAGAACCTCAGCTTAGCCTGTTAGCCTTTGCGCTAGCCCTCACGCTATATTGCCTTATATGTATTAGCTCGGCGCCAGCGTGACAAACAAGCTAAAGTGAGGTCTTCCATCCATATTTTCAGTTCCAGGCTGAGTCATTTTTGTGTTCCCCTCTCTGTCAACGCTCTCTGGTTTCATTTAAAAGAGTCAATCATCAGATATTGTCCAAGATTAACCTTCAGGGTGGATATAGCTCGCTGGCAGCCTCGCACCGATGACCTAGACAATGTCATCAATTTCCCAGAATGCTTTGCGTGTAAATAAAATGACCCCGTACGTGTAATATAATTTTAAACTTTTAGTTTAAAAATTATAAAAACTAAACATCCTACAGTATTTTTACAGTCTTTATTTTACAGTTAAAGTATATGTTTATCATATAAAATCTAATGTTACAACTAATGGGGGATCCCTTTAAAGTAGTGACTAACAGTGTCTGAGTGATCAGTTTGGTCACTGATGTTCAGAACGGCTCTTAAATAGGAACAAATTTTCTCCACCTAAAATAACACCAGTCTTCTACAATTTAAACATTCTGATGTAAAACTGATGCAGTACAGAAATCTTGAAATTAGTATTCACTGGTGATGGACTGGTTTACAAAAGCCCTTATTTGGATTCAGGGTCATGTCTCTTTTGTTCATTTATTTCTAGTTAATTTTCCCCCCTATTTTGGGAACACTTCAGAAATCCCACTCACCAGTAATAGATAAACCACCATATACACTTAAAAAATTCCATTATTTTTATTAACATCATGTATTTATGAAGTAGTCTGACATGTCATTCTGGGTGAGAGTATATTTAAAGTAGGGTGGGATGTTTCAAAAATTTTATTTTATTTTTTGACAAAAGTATTTAAAATATTTAACTCMGAGACCTTTGGTAAATATTCAGCACACAAAGTCTGAACTGACTGAAATTTAGAGGCTGCATTTACTAAAAAGGTGACTGCTGGCATTCTTAGAAAATAAACAGAAAATGGCTTCTAAAGCTTTGTAGTACCTAGAGGTAATCAATGCTGCCAGGAATCAACACAACTCTCCTTTCCCTGCTGCCCRTCTCACTTCACCCAACTTCAGCTGTCCTCCGCATGTGGTGGGTCCAAGTGGAGGTGACATCTTGGCCTAGTCAAGTAGCCAGGGCTAGACCACCAGCTGCTCACCAGTGAGCTTCCCCCTGGACTGGCTCCAGGGGGTGCCCTGATTTCCTTTTTCGAGGCAGGGTCTCAGAAACGTGTGATGTTTTTTTCATCAAGGTTTTTGAATCACTCTTAGCCTGACCTTTCTCTTTATAACAGACTACACCCCTTGTCTGCTCCTTTAGTGGGGACTGAAGAGCTGTTCAAGGTGTACCCCACCTTTCACTCGTCGACCACTAAAGATTGGCAGCAGCTTCTTTACCACGATAAAGAATGTATAGAATATGAATGGATAATTTTACAATTTCTTTACAAAATGTTAAATTTAAGTACATTTTGATTTAATCTTATTTAGTTTTGCTGTTTTTATCAGCTGTAATATTCTTAATAGTTTTGGGCTATACTGCTTGCATAGACCCTGGTCTGGTTTTTAATCCTGATGTTGTCTTCTCCACAGCCAYGCGATGCCCTTAGAGATTCACCCAACATCTCTGAAGTGATTGCCTTAGAAGAGGGGAGTTTAGCTTCTAACTCCCAGGACTGGTGTGAGAGAAGCCTACAGGGAGGTGAAAGATCTGATTTTATTTCTGACAGAGAAGACTCTCCTGATGCTCTTTCAGAAGTGGAAGACCCCTATATTGCTTGGAAAGCAACAGGAAGCGGCACTTTCTGCACTGCGCACACTAAAGCTCGACGGAGGCAGTTTGAGTCAACCAAATATGGCCGGAGAGAGGCGGCAGAGATTTACACTCTACAATCCAGCTGTAATAAAAGCACATGCCCGGAAAAACAAATGGGACCTAATATTTCATTGAAGCTCAGCACCAGAGAGGTGTGCTCAGTTAAAATCCAACCTCAGTCGCGGGATTCAAAAGATAATTTGCACCAGAAGACTGTATTTACATATAAGAGTAGCACAGGGACGTGTAGATTAAAGAAAAAGAGTCAAGAAAACTCAGTTATCTTGGATGCCAATAATCTATTTGACCCTCCTGAAGTTACAGTAAATGTTCCACCTGAAACCAGCAAAACTAATCAGCTGAATGATTTTAACCACCTAGAAAAATACCCTCCAAATAGAGGTTTATTAGAGGGCAAAACTTTGGTAACACAACATCACAGCTCATTTAAACACAAAACATGGCCACTCACAAAAAGCGCGGATATCAAAAGTAAAAAGATACAATTTAATCAGAAGTTTAAAATCTGTAATGTTGAAGAAAAGGAGATACAGACTCCTGAACTCTTCAGCACTTACTCTGTTTTAAAAAGATGCAACAGCTTGAATAATGACAACGGTAAATGTTGCAGACATAAGGCACATTACAAAAATAGAAGTAGATGTAGTGGCTGTCCGCATGTAGTTACTCATCACACAGATGAAATAAAATGCAAGAAAAATTACACAAACTTCCAGTTAATTCAAGAAACTGCTGCGTCAAGTGTAGCCAGCTCTGAAAGACTTGACAAAACAACACAATGTGCTTCACAGAACTTAAAGTCTGAAAACAGAGACACACCTCATGCACAGATCAATGTATCGGCACAGGATGAGGATACCATCTCACTTCCTGTGGGTGATGAAAGCCCTGACAGTGGATCATCAGAGGTCTACAATCGTATCACAGATTTTCAGAATAAAGATCAGAAGTTGGGTGTCTGCTTCCAAGAGGATCAGTCTGAATGTATTTCAGCACAAGGAGTTAATCCACTGGGGGCGCTGAATAAAACTGGATCATCCATCACGTTTACTACAGTTCCATTGAGTACCTGTACCACGGTGACCTTACCTGGTCTATCAGGAGACCCAGACAGAGAGGAAGTCTCTGGGAGGCAGTCAGGTCAAAAACTGCCTCAGGGTAGGAGGTCTCAATCATGGCTCTTTTCAGATCAAACCCAAGATATTTATGCTAACTACTTGGATCAGGAAAACGCTACACTAGAAAATGACGGGCAGTTTGTGTCTCCAAACAAGCCTTTAGCAAGGGTAAATTCTAGCCCTTTAGCAGCAAAACCTGAATCGATCCCATTCCAGTCTGACACTAGTAAGGGGACTAAGGAATTTCACACTCAGATTTCCTTCTCAGATAATCRACTGTTTTCCTCTGATGTCCTTGAAGCAGAAGATCCCTCCCCTCGATTGTCAGACAGTTGTAGAGAGGAATCCACCTGCTCTCCTCTCCAGCCTAAAATGGAACAGAAAACGGAGAGCAGTAACTTTTATGAACTCCCCTATGAAATAAAATCCCCTCTCTCACATTCAGACTCCAATAATAACACCAAAGTTGTTAAAAGTTTATCCGATGAAGCTCAGAGCAAATGCAAAGCTAAAGATAAAACCATTTGCCTACCGATGGATGTATCCGTAGGTGTGACTCATGACTTTATGGCAGACAAAGTAAAGCACCAGGAACATTCTACAGTGACTCCTGGTGATCACAGATCGAAGAGTGAAGACTCAATACCTGCAGTAGCAACATTTCCTAAAAGTCAAGATCATTTAAGGACAGTTTCCATTGATCAGCTACAAAATCAGAAGACACTAGAAAGGTTTGAGAAAGGACTTAAACCCTTCATTCCAAGTTCCGAGATGAACATTGAACTCACAAAAGAGAAGAACCAGTTAAGCTATCCAGTGGATTACAGCCTATCCCGAAAGTTAGCTAACTTATCAAAATCAGAGTTGGAATCTGAGGTGAGTCCTGGCCTACAAGGTGGATGCGAGAAAATTCGGAAACAAACAACGGATGGTACAGTGACTTCCATCACAACTACCAGTGACTGCAATGGGAAAACAAGCGTTGAAAAAATAACCAAAAGAACCAAATCAAACGGCAACCTGAAGGAAGTTAAAGGCTCCATGTTTTTGATATTTGCTAAAACGCCTTCTTTAAAGGAGGAGGAGGAGGAAGTACAGAAGACTTTGTCAGAGGAAGGAAGCAAAAATGTTTTATCTGAACAAGAGTTGCAGAAGAACCACTCTGAGGATAATAACGACGAGGAGGTTTCAGCTACAGGTGACACTGTCAAACGGGCAGGTGACCAAGCAGTACTGCCGCTGCGTCACAGGATAGATGAAAGGGATGGTGAGCTCTTCCCCTCTTCACACTGCACTCATCATGTTTGTGAGCTGGCGAGTGAGGATAAAGGATCAAATGCAGAAAACCTTCTGAGACAAATCCTTTTACCTAATGAACGGAGCTTCAAGAACAGCCCCAACATCTGCATGTGCTTTTCTGAGCCACATAAGTTCTCCAGTGTGTTTGAGCCACCGTTAGCTAAGGAGGATATTGATATGGACTCTGGTAAAGCCAGACAGTTCTGGTCAAAAGTTAAAAAGAACATGGAAGCTGAGCATCTGAAAAGATCTTTTTCGGAGACAGAGGGTGAATATACCAAACTACCTTCTGAGGATGACTTCATCTTCTTTCCAGTGCTCGACACATTGACTGGCCCTGGATTGTCCTCCTCCCTCAGAGCCCATAGCCACACAGATTATGATTCCAAGAAGGGAGTTTTGCAAAGAAATGAAATAGAGAACCAGAATAAAACATGTTCTGAGAGTCTACCTTTTACATTATGTCCATCTGGCCCACCTTCAAGTTTAGACAACTCCTCAGGAGAACAGCCCAGTCACACAAATTCTGGTTCTAAACACAGTCATCCGCATTCACCATTCAGGTCCAGATCTCACACGCTAGCCTGTGAGGGCTCAGCTGGCTGCCCCCTTCGGCCATTCAGTCCTAAACCTAATAGCCCAAGGCCAACGGCTCAGCGCAAAGTATTTCGCTACCGTCACACAACAAAGACCAGTCCCGTCTCTGCCCCTCTTCTGAGTCAGTCAGTCAGTGTAGAGGGATTGACTCTGCCGCCTGAGAAACCTAAAAGCCTAAAACCCTCCACTAGCCCTCGGATTCTCAATTTTAGTCCTCTGAATGACTTCCAAAGTGATTTTCAGTCACAAGTCAGCCTCTCTGACACTGGCTCCATTGGTGAATTAGAGGTAAGAAAACAGTTTATTATACTAGGGCAGATATTTCTGTTTAGTTATATACGAAATATAAATGATATCAAAATTAACAGTCAGTGATGACATTCAATGTTCATTTTTGTATTATATGAAATGTACTGTGGTTTATTTTTAATTTTTTTTATCAGACTCTTATTTCACTCAGACATTAGTAATAAAATAATTTGGGGCTCACTGGACTTTGACTGTTGGAAACTAGTTGGCGATTCAGAATAACAAGAAAATTGTGAGAAAACAGAGACATGTTTTAAATCCTGTGGCTTATTTTTTTGTGTGCAAGKTTTGCAAAACTATATTTTAGCCTGTGCATGTTATTTCATGCTAGCTTCTACAACACCCACAAGGCAGCCGAAAACCCCTGCCCATGTCTCATAACATTCTGGAGATTCTTTCTTGAATAATGTTCGCCAACCAGAGGTTAGCCGTCACGGCCCAGTTACTACTTTTACTGAACTCCTGCTATGTGGCTGATGCTTTTGGGTGTGCTGGTGTGTCAATCATATCTTACCACAATGTTTGGGTTGGTCCAGAGAAAAGCGTTTAAATCTTGGTAAAAACATTTATTATTGCTTTGCCTCCAGTGTGTCTTGCTTTCATTATGTGAGTGATTTGGCAACGGTTTGTCCACGCTGTCACCCAGCCAGCTGCTACAGTAACTTTGGGATGGAGGGCCTGATCAAGATAACTTCAGCTCTAGCACCCTCTTCTGTTTGCCTCCCAGTGTAACAAAGATATACTCGCTTTACTTATTCTCTGTACCCACTTAATCTTGTACAGGGTTACGAAGACCTGGGGCTTATCAGAGGCAGTTGACAGGCAGGAGGTGGGATATATCCTGGACAGATCACCAGGGCCAACATAGAAACACACGCAATCAGGCCCAGACACTCACTTTTTGAGTTAGTATAGAGTCATACATGTTTTTGGACTGCGAAGAAGAAGTTGGAATACTCAGAAAACTCACAAAAATCATGCCAATTCCACAAAGAAAGGAATATGACTTTTGTACTTATCCTGAGTCCCAATCCAGAACCTGCATTATTTTGCTGTTTTTTGCAGTCCAGGCATCTTTTGCTTAACACCTTAGCATTGTAATTATATACGTATACCGTTTTCCTTCTGACAGAATTGAAGTTACCAGTGTGATGATCACAAAGTTAAAGCACTCAGTGTGTTTTTAAAGCCTCGACATTTGCTTCATGGATTGTGACTAACCAGTTAATTGTGCACTCAAAAGGTGACACAAAACAGAGGACAACCTGTCAGCAGCTCCAGAGAAAGAATGCTGCTGGAGGTGCGGGACAGGAGGAGAGCCTTCTTGTTTCATGGTGGAAGACCGGGATGCTGGGTAAACGAAGGCAGGTTTGGAATTTACCAGCAAGGAAGACCGAAGTGTTTCGATGACCTTTGGATTGAGGAGCAAAAGAAGTACAAGTGCAAACTGGCCAAAAGCATCAGAGACCCCACAGGCCATGTGGACACACTGTGGTCAGAAAAAATGATCAAAGTAAGACGTTGCGGATGCAGTGTCCTGAGCTACCAAATCAATCATCCAAACCATAAGACTCTTTTTAATTCTAATCTTTTCCACTTCTGCCTCACTTTTGACTCTGTTCTGCGTAGAAAGTTTGTATTTTAGGTGGATTACAACAGATTTTTTTTACATAAACTCTCATTTTGTTACTTTCTGTGTCCTACTAACTGGTTTCATCTCACAGCACTGTCCTTGTCACTGCTTTTCTGCTTCTGCTTAATCTTGATCAGGGTCAGGGGCGGGTGCTAACTCAGCATTCATTCAATTTAAATCCAATCAATTATTTGATTGGGGTTGTTAGGAAAACACTGGACAGTATTGATAATAATGGTAAATTAAAACTGTTTTCTGTTCCCACAGATGGATACTGAAATACCCTTGGGCCCCATAAAGTTATGGGGGACGTCTTTAAAGGYCCATTGTTTCTCTCAGAGCACTCCCACCGGTCTAGACTGTCTGGGCTGGACAAGACGCTTCTCATTCTGTAAGCAMCTGCATTTTATATAAGACATCATTTTCAGAATCATCCAGAGGTTTYAATAATTTCRATGTTTGGTATTTCCTTTGAACTTGTGATGCTTTTGCCAATGCATGATATACAGTACATATCCAAATCAGTTTTTATTTCACCAAGGTCCATCCAAATTGTTTCTTACAAAATTGACTGTATTTTTTTTTTATCCAACGATTTGTATTTATTTAATTTCACTGGTTCAGTGGATCAATGTAGAGGAGACATTCCAAGTTTGGGAGAGGGGAGGGTGGAAGATGTGTCGCAAAAAAGCACCTCAACTGGAAAAGCACTACTAAGAAGACAACTTGGCATGTCACTTTCCTCTGTAAATAATAATAAATTAATGAACAAATTTTACCCATTTTAACCAGAACTTGACTAATCAAAAGTCTGATAATCTTAGTTTCTTATATTATTTATTTATTTACCATTATTTATCCAGACAAGTCCCGTTGAGATTGCAGATCTCTTTTTAAACTGTACCCTGGGTCTGAAGGCAACATATTGTACATGTTTTTGAGTTGTGGGGGAAACCGGAGTTCCTGGAGAAAACCCACACAAGTATGTGGAGAACATACTCCACACAGAAAGACCCTGGGTCTGAATTGGGGATCRAACCCACAACTATTGCTGTGAGGCATCGGTGCTAACCTCTGATCCATTGTGCTGCCCAACTGACGGCAGAAGCTATGAGATAACATTAGCAAACCAGACGCTAAAATAATCAGAACAGTAGCTAAACACAAAATGAGCAAAGCAGTACCTAATAGTAGATCAACAGTTGCAGTTTAAGCCTAAACAAGTAGCTAAAAACTAGAAATATAACCAGTAAGCTGCAGTAGATTTTAAATGTAATATTTTTCAGGATTTTGAGCAGTTCTTCATTCGTTTCAAAAGGGTATTTGATAAAATTAAAACTGTATATAAAATAAATAATTAAAAAAGTGTAGAAGTTACAAAAAACAAAAGTTAAAGCTGTAATGTCCTTAACGAGCTGAGCATTTTAAAATATCAATGGCTGCAATACCTGAAAATAYGCTGAATTACCGTAGGTAGGGTCAAAAAAAGTAACGAGGAAACTCCATCCATCCATTTCCTTTTACCCAMTTTTCCAACATGGTTCACAGGGAGCTGATACCTATCTCCAGTGGTCATTGTGCGAGAAGCAGGGGACACCATGGACAGGTCACAAGTCCATCACAGAGGCAAATGAGACAAACACTCACACCTAGGGATGATCGAGAATTACCAGTTAAGCTAACATGTATGCTTTTTGATCTGTGTGAAGAAACCAGGATACCTTAATAAAACCTGCTCATGCACAAAAAGGCCCCAGGCTGGGTGACGAACCTACGACCTTCTTTGTGTGAGGCCACAGCTCTAACCACTGCTCCGCCCTGCTGCACACAGAAGAAACCGTAAACAAATTAATGCTGACTCAGCATTAACACTGAATTGCTACTAAAGATGGCTCCATAAACAAAGAGTTCAAGTGGAGGACGTTTTTATGCATATAATCCATTTTTGCATTTTGCTGATTTCTAAACAAAGGCACAATGCCGTGCGCCACGTGCTCTTCCATGGTGAGCTCTTCTCCCCTGCTACCTTCAAAGATATGAGACTGTCACTCTGTCGCTGGCAGGCAAACAGACATGGTCGAGCGACACAAACCCCCTCAGCCGGACCCCCACTGATGTCAGCCTGGGAGAGAGAGGGAGAACAAACTGTGAGTTAATGTGAGGAAATGAAAGTGTGCTCATCCGTTTACCCGGAGAGAGAGCGGAGAGGAAGGAGGCAGCCGCTGGATGAGAGCCGATCCTGTGCAGAGGTAAAGGGAGGACAGGAAGCGTTCCGCTTCTGTAGATGGGAGGAGAAAACAACAAGCTGACAGCTGAAGATTACCTCAGCGAATAGTACAGCAGATACCAGCCGGGAGGCTCCCGCCTCCTCCTCCTCCTCCTCCTCTGCTGCGTTTTTCAGGAAAAGAAACCCACCTGCTCCACCACCTCTTCATTTCCTCTCGCTTCTTGCTGTGAACCTTTGATTCCCCCCCCCCCCCCCCCCCCCCCGTTGTGTGTCCACACAGGGATGCGGACCCAGCAGGGCTTGGAGGGGGGCGTGCCCCTGCCTGGGGGCAGCTGTGGAAGCAGCGGCAGCTCTGGGTTGTCGCCGGGGTCCGAGTCAGACGGAGGGAGTCCGGTGGGCGGAGGGGTAGATAGCATGGTGGACGGAGGTCTCGGTGTGGGTGGATGTATGGGTGGTGGAGGAGGAGGCAGCTTGGGCGGCACTTTGAGGGGAGTCCTGTCTCACTATTGGAGCCTGGAGAGTCTGCACTCCACCACAGGTAAGGGTCCTGCGCACGCGATGCAGCTCCGTGCACGTCGGTGGCAACAAAAACACTTTGCTGCAACGTTTGATCACTTCTCCGGTGCTCCACGTCCGCTGATCTCTGCCAGTAAACACTGCACTTATCATGACCTCAGCACCAGACTGACACACTGACACCAGGTCACAGGGTTCTTCTGTCATGCACAGGCTTGGCGCCGTGCCTGCTGTGTTCATGTTTAGACTGGGCGGACTGGCTCTCTCAGCTCAGGTCCTGTGGAAGGCTCCAGAAACTGTCAGCACCTTCTCTACTAAAACACAAGTTCCCGATTGTCTTGAGATTTGCATGAATCATTTTCAACTTTTCGGATTGCAGTTCAAATCAGCAGATCCTATTCGTTAGGTTGTTTTCTTTTCCCAACTGGCCAGCAGGAGCAGAGGGGTGTCATGAAGGAGAAAACACAGACCCACAGACAGACTTTAGCTAGGAGTAACTAACTGCAAGGTCAATGTCTGAAAGCCTGAGGTCATCAGGAAACCCATGAGTAATGCCTCATATCCTTCAGACATCTAACACATGGATGTGTTTAACTAATTAGGGTTTTCTTTTAAATATAACTAGTGATTCCTTCCACTGATCGGTAACATATTTGAATTAAAGGCTAARCATGCTTTGAAGGAAGGCATGATGCTTGCAGTTTTTCATGCTAGAATAATAAATTAAGTTGTAACTTTATTGGTCAAATTTTGAAAATAAGGTTATGTGCGATCTCGTGATATTTTGCATGATCTGTTAGTGCTTGGAGGTCTGTTTGTGTTACGATTGACTCATCAACAATCACATCACACTTTAATATCTATAAAATTTAATGACATAGAGCCTTTATTGTGTTGACTAATGTTGATTAGTTGATCCAGTGTTTTGGAACGGTTCAAACAAGTGCACGCACATGTCTCTCTGTACTTGTATGGATTTTGCATTTCATTAATTTTTACATCCTGACCACGACCCATTACCCTAACCCTAACCTCTCAGGTTACATACCTAATCCTAACCTAAATGTAATTCACACCCCAGTCCTAAAACTAACCCCTGACACACAAATGTGTTTTTTCCATTGTGTGGACCAGACAAATGTCCACAGACCCAAAACACAACGCTTTGCTTTTGGTGTTGGGCGATCATAATCGATGAGTTTTGATATTTTTTTTACTCATGTCCACCCAAGACAGACTTACTGGACTCCTAATTTTTCAGTGACAATGTTTAGTGAGTTATCATCGTTTACTGCTGTTTCACAAATGGTTTAATACATCTTTGTGTTTGATATTAGACGTCCCTGTCTCCACTCAGCCCACCTGCCAGCCTTTTTTTTCTGTTGTCGTTTCGCAGCTGCAGCTTTAGGAGACACCAGCTAAACATTGTGTGGCAGAGGAAGGAAAATCAGTGAACAGAAAACACACGAGCTTCTTACACGGTGACATTTTAGGCTTTGCCATGCTGAAACATTCACTTTGTTTTACGTTTTACAGCATTTGTTATTTGTTTCTGTTTCAGTCACTGTGTTGCAAATAGTGTAGGCCTAATTGTCTCCTAGGCCTGTGCTTTCTAGCCATAATAATCAACATTCAAAGAAAATGAATGTTTCTGTATTTCATTTTCTGCTTCCTTAATGCATTAAGTCCAAATCCGTGGACGGTTTAACTTAGTGACCACGGCCAAAAGGCAAAGATTGACAACAAGGCATTTGTTGATGTCTGTGTGTCCATGAGCCAGTTTTTTTTAAAAATCAAATTGTCTCATGAACCACTGGACATACTGTATGAAATTTGCAGATAGTAATCATTTGATGTACATCTACAAGTTATTAATTGCAGGCGACCCAGTTCTATGGGGCTGCCACAGCCAAATAAACTATGGAAATACAAAACTCTCAATGTTACTGACACCGATGTAAAATATCATGTGGTAGTTGCTGAGCACAAATATATCACAAAAGATCTTTGAAAAAAATTATACATACATACATACATACATATATATATAT